ATATATGGCAAAATACTACATACAATTACTGTTCATGAAAAGTCTTCCCAGAAAAACTTTCCAATCGGAAAAAATCTCAACTGAGAAAATAAGTGGTCGCCAGAGTGAAAATCGGCGAAAATGATTCGAAGGCACAGCAAAAGTTATTATCCACAGTGGAAGATTTCCGAAGAACTTCGTCAGTCCACATCGGTAACCACGAAGAATTCCTCGTCACTCCCCAGTTTGAAACAGTTCGTTCTCACTCACGATCACGCCTGTCAGACTGTCCTGGGCTGCAAGGAGTATCTAATCGATGAAGTATGTCCACAGTACTTCCTTCGGGTAGCCATCCTGTAATTTCAGCCTCTCTAGAAATTATTCACAAAATTTCTAACGTGAGGTCCAATAGAGGAATGAATTGATTGGATGGGATGTACTAACAGTTAGTAACAGTTTAGCGCACGTGGGAAAAACAAGTTACGCGAGGATCATTAAACTTCTCAAGAGCTACCGGTTCTCAAAGCACGATGTACGTGCTTGCAAGTCGAACCACACAATTACTGTGTGAGGCCAACAGATAATGTAGTCACACAATGGGAGGACAACGGATTGTAACGCCACACAGCAGTCGTACGTGCATGGACGGCGATACTTGCAATGGGCGGGGTTTGCAGAGACCACAAGTTCCTGACGCCCTTGCTTCACGGCTCAATAAGAGTCTGCTTAAATACGCGCTTTCACAAGTAGAACAGGATCGCGCCCGTACAGAGAATGGCCGTCTTGCAGAATACTCACCATTTCCTTGATTATACCGTCAACAGTTGCTTTCTTCACCCTTGTTAGTATTTTATAAAGTTCGCTAGCCAGTCCGCTTTGAATTATATGGAATTTCGCATTCAGAATGCAGTCGACCGGCTGTACCTGGAAAAATGCGAAGTCTGTTTCACGTTGAAAGTACCCAGTATACCTAGATCTATCACAACCGGAAGCAGGTAAGCGACAATAGTTGGTGGAAAACGACTGATACGAACAATATGATACAGTCTTGTCGCTTCGGCACCGCGCCAAACCCATTCCGGCCTGGCACGCCCCTTCGTCCGCAGCGAAAGAGACTGTAGGCAGGGGGGAGACAATTACAGTTAGATGATCTTGTGACTCGTATCTAAAAATTCCAACCTTTTGTACAGGGTGCATTCCACCCGCTTTGGATGTCTCAGATGGTTAGTCTCTCAAATCTAAACGCCAAGAGCTTTTCTGCTTGCTTTCACAGACGGAGATCGTCGTGTTGGGAATGGACGAAGTGTTGAGGCGGCTTTCCCACCGGACCGCTGCCTTAGGTGTAAGTTTCTGCGCTAACCTCATGGTCCTGGCTGTAAGGCCGCGTTTATACATCGCGCTGCTGAGGACCGGTGAGGCTGCGAAAAAGGTCAGATACAAGTCGGTTCTGTCGACCACGCCCACACCAATGTTTTTCCTTATGTCCGTAATCATTTTCGCAGATTTAGCTGATCATTCCCACACTCGAACGGATTCTAATCAATCGATAAGTATCTAGTATCCATCTATCTATCCATTTATGTATTCTCTCATTGCTCGATTCTCATTCTCAGATTCTCAGAAAGGGCGTAATTTACGAACGCTGCGCTGGGCAATGCGCGGCAGTCTGGCGCGTTGAGGCCCGATCCTTCTTCATATCCCAGGCTATCGAATTTTCTATTCATCATTTCATTTCGGACCTGCTTTCAGCTGTGTAAGATTATGAAATACTCCGAAACTGTTATTGAACTGTTATTTAGACACATCAACTAGGCTGTATTATTCCGGGCATTATCCCAGATGAGCTATTTACTTCCCAATAGAAGTGATAGCAAGTTTTGTGCTCCTTTTTCAGGTAGCGTCCAAACTGGGTAGACAGATCGAAGAGCCGTTCCCTGATATTTACCCTATAGCTTCCAGATAGATGAAATAACGTAATTTACGAACGCTGCGCTGGGCAATGCGCGACTTTGCCGCGCATTGCCCAGCGCAGCGTTCGTAAATTACGCCCTTCTGAGAAACTGAGAATGAGAATCGAGCAATGAGAGAATACATAAATGGTCTAGATACTTATCGATTGATTAGAATCCGTTCGAGTGTGGGAATGATCAGCTAAATCTGCGAAAATGATTACGGACATAAGGAAAAACATTGGTGTGGGCGTGGTCGACAGAACCGACTTGTATCTGACCTTTTTCGCAGCCTCACCGGTCCTCAGCAGCGCGATGTATAAACGCGGCCTTACAGCCAGGACCATGAGGTTAGCGCAAACTACACCTAAGGCCAGCCGTTGGTGGGGGAAGCCGCCTCGAACACTTCGTCCATTCCAACACCACGATCTCCGTCTTGTGAACAAGGCACGAAGCTCTTGGCGTTTAGATTTGAGAGACTAACCATCTGAGACATCCAAAGCGGGTGGAATGCACCCTGTACAAAAGGTTGGAATTTTTAGATACGAGTCACAAGATCATCTAACTGTAATTGTCTCCCCCCTGCCTACAGTCTCTTTCGCTGCGGACGAAGGGGCGTGCCAGGCGGAATGGGTTTGGCGCGGTGCCGAGCGACAAGACTGTATCATATTGTTCGTATCAGTCGTTTTCCACCAACTGTTGTCGCTTACCTGCTTCCATAAATGGTTGAGAGCAGGATTATCGCCGCGCCAAACCCATCCCGCCTGACACGCCAGTTCAACTGTAGCGAACGAGACAGTACGTACATACACAAAAATAGATTACGCCACGACATACATGAACCACATCACTGCAATGGAAAATCTTGTGGGAGTTTTAAAAAATGCTTACTTTCGCCCTATTAGAAGGCGCCGACAGTCGGAACATTCTGAGCTCGAACATTCGTTTTATGTCCATGTATCGACCGTATCGCTTCCACGAAAAAAGTTTTTCATTCTATCGGAGGAACTGAATACTGATAGACAAAATTTTATCTGCTTGTCGTGAAGTGACACAAAGTGAGCGCATTTTTCAGACAAAATACGATCAAGTTGTTACGAGACAAACGATGGACTTCTATGTGTAGCCATACAGATGTACCATATGTCGCACTTATAGAAGCGACTTGCAAATTGAGCCACGTCTCTTTCGCCTTTCCGTCACCATTGATGGTCTGTGATTCCCTATCTCATCGTAGCTTTGCGAGACTCCATTATCACGACGACATATGCATGTGAGCACAGGGTGGAACATCGTGATTTTTGAAATAGCGGTGTCAGTATGATCTCCCCCTCCCCCCCCCAAAAAAAAAAGCTCATCTGTTACCGCCGTCCGCTGTCCCAGCTCCCTAAGCTTCCCCAATTTCCTATGAACTTTTACAAACTTTTCTCAGTTTTCTCCCAAAACAAGCCTCGGGGCGGGCGAGTGGGGACGGAGATCCTCGTAAAACAATTGAATGGCAACTAAGGCAGCGTTCAGACTTGTAGCGCTACAGCGTCGCGCTACAGCGCCGCTTCGCAACGTACTGCTATTTCCAACGTTAGGATGATTAGAGTTGCTTACAGAGAAAAGTGGGAAGGTTGCTGGAGTTTTGAGAAATTCACGGAAAGGTGAGACTGATACAGCTGTAACTATCTGACGCCATCCTTGACAGTTGCTCCATTAGTCACTATTTTTCTGGTACTGCTTTTAGCGTAACAGTGTCCTTCTGTCCTATTAAGAGCATTTTCTGCAAAAAACACCCAAAGAGTACTCGCGCCACCTAAAACACGCACGTTTTTTCACCGGAGACAGAAGAACTCATAAAGGACACTTCCTTGTTCGCCTTGCTGCTGTTAACGCCCATTGGTGACCAGACAGTGTTCGCGTGCCTGTTGTGGGAGATAAGGCCATTTTTACGCTCCTAGGCCAAAAAAGTACAAGAAACTGTCAAAGCTTTGTTGGCTGTGAATGCCTCGAAAACCGGCATAAATCTTTTTCCTGTGATCCAGGCAGAGATTGGGGGCAATACGGAAAGCAGATTTCGCTCCATAATCCATAATCTGATAGTGAGCTCCTGTTTTCTACTTTATCACATTTTAATGTAGTTTTTGATACAGAAGACTGTGATAATTGGTTTTATTTACCGTTTTTGACTTTAATTATTTGGTTTCAGAGTTGCTATTGATGTTTATGCTTTGCTTGATGCCTTGCAGTGGTGCCTCCGATGACGAAATAGTTTTTGGCATCCACGTACAGATGGCAAGCCATGATGTTTTTAGGTGGCGCGAGTACTCTTTGGGTGTTTTTTGCAGAAAATGCTCTTAATAGGACAGAAGGACACTGTTACGCTAAAAGCAGTACCAGAAAATAGTGACTAATGGAGTAACTGTCAAGGATGGCGTCAGATAGTTACAGCTGTATCAGTCTCACCTTTCCGTGAATTTCTCAAGAAAACTCCAGCAACCTTCCCACTTTTCTCTGTAAGCAACTCTAATCATCCTAACGTTGGAAATAGCAGTACGTTGCGAAGCGGCGCTGTAGCGCTACGCTGTAGCGCGACGCTGTAGCGCTACAAGTCTGAACGCTGCCTAAGCAGCAGTTGTATGGTCTGCAACGCCGGTAACTAAGGGAGAGGGGAAGCAAAACCGAAAAAAATGTCAACAATAACAACCGGGAAAAAATTTTCTCGCGTTTTGAAAAAATTTTTCCCAAAGGCAAACACAACCCCCCCCACTCCCCAGCAATGAAGCATGGCTCCATGATAGGATTCCTAACGATGTCATACTCTATGCGGGCAACCACGAGCTTCGTATGCATGAGGCTTTCATGAGCTTGTAGCGCCGCTACAGCGCACTTTTGAGCCGCGAAAAGGCACTAACATCCGTGAATGACGACGCGGTTGCTCCAGACGCGGACCACTACTACGACTTGGCTAATCTTGAAATTCCCTCTGAAAAGTAATATTGCGTTTCGCCGCGAGTTGTAGTAAAACGATTTCACATAGTAGTTCTCAGTACATTCGAGTAGCTGAAAAAGAAGAAGGATAGTAGCTAAATACCTCTATCATTTGTTCACATTGAGCGATCGATACCGGACCGTTCAGGAGATAGAAAACTTGCAAAAAGCAGAGTAATTCCGGTAGATTTTGCACTTTGTCACCCCACTGCTGTAGACACAAGTTCTTGGCTGCGACCCTGTCAAAATGATTTCGATAACTGTCGGACAGTTTTTGGCTTTCGACTATATTACAAAGCCCTTCAAAATAATTGATTTAAGAGGCAATCGGCGCTATAAATTGCTAAGGTGAGTAGATCAATGCGCCTGGCAGGAAGGAATTCCGCACCCTGAGCAGGCGCTGCGTAGCCCTTTTCCAAGGAAGGTGCTTTTATAAGGCCCTATCAAGCTGCAACATACCGACCCGAACGCCCACCACGCCTGCCCGCCCACAAATGTACAACCATCCAATTACCTGATGCTCGTATTGCTTCATTTACGAAGTAAAATGTGAAGAGAAGGGACTCCAGTTCAGGATGAGGTGACCAAAAATGCCCTTGAAGGCAGAGCCCACGATCACCCCACATATATAATTCGCTTGTCTGTTTGTTTGTTTGATTTTGTAAGTTCAAGGGGCCGTTGTAAGTTTAAAAGTTTGTTTGTTTGTAAGTTTGTATGTCTGTCCGGAAATTCGGTTCGACCTGAAGAACGACTTGGAGAGGTCGGGTCAAGGTGGGGATGGGTAGAGCATGGGACAAGAAATAAAAAGCACACTTGACCTATGCGAAGCCCCGCCCACAGTGGGCGGGGCACTCGCTGAAAGTTTGGGGCTCCTCACAGAAATGTTCATAATATCGCTTCCGGAGCAGCACACTAGATGGGGAAAAAGTGGAATGAGGTTAGCAGACCCCAGGACTAAACTAATGGAGATCAATATAAAATTGGGTGGGCGTATCTCGAAATGTGGCGGCGCTTCTCACAAAACTCAGTACCCTTGTTGCGCAATGAGTGCTTATCAGGGAAGAGGTCGGAGCCGTCGTCGGCGCGCTGGATTCCATTGGGCGCATCGCTGTAATTGCCACCCACCACCCTGCCGATGCGACGCGTTTCGTGGGTCGGACAACTCGTCCACGTTTATTAATGTCTTGGTTGACGTCTTGATCCACCTACGTTGGCAGTGCGCCAACATAGACGACCGATTGCGTCCGAATCTCCTACTCAACCATTTTCGTCCGTTTTTGAGCGATTTTTGCCTCCTTTCGGGCCTCGACATTCCCCTACGTTATATGGGCAGTCCACGTTCGACCCTCATGAATCTGGAGCCATGAATTCTAAACAGAAAGCCTACTCAACGTTTAGCTACTTAGAAGTCTAATAAATATTGCGACATGATAGCTAATGAGCTTCGAATCCGAATCGCTTTTTCGAGGAGTTCTCCTAAATTCTATATCTTCGCTAACATGCATGAGATGTAGCTTTTACTCCAGTAGACAGTATACTCACTGGTCTTTCTCGATATTGTGTCGGTAAAACCTCCAGAGTTGTAATATGACCTCAGCCCATTCTTACACTTACGTCGGTGGGGTGGGAAGGCACATAGCTGCCACGTGACGATGTGCGGTAGGCACGCCTTCTTGTCAAACCGAGGCTGCGAGTGGGATCACTCTAGTATAGTTCTCCTTCCTTCCTGACAGATTTTGTTTTATTTACTGTCCCACTCGCTATCACGCGCACTGATTAGATTCGTGAAAGGCTGCTGATTTTGGGAAATCTATTTAGGAAAAATTAGTTGCCCAAAAGCAGAATCGTTGCTGTGACGTGTCTGCCGCTATATCATTAGAATACAGTTTTGTCGCAACATTTTTAGGAGAACGTACCCATTCATAAATCTAGATGACCGCTAGTTAGTATATCTAGGCGCCTAATTCGAACCACATGACGAGTTAGCACGATAGAAAAAAAACTTGCGCTACGAACGTGATAAATACTATTAGGATAACGTTACCCATGTAAGTTAGTGTTACCTAATCTATAATTGCAGTGAAAAACCTTAGGACGTGCTCCTTAAACAGGAACTGCTTTGCTGCACCGATCGAGAGGCCCGTATGTCAACATCTGCCGGATGGTTAGCGCTTACGAGTTTCCAGATTGCAAGCTGTTCACTGACCTGTACACTGGCTAACTCAGTATCGTTTTCGAGGAACTCTAGTATGTTTTTGCAAATCGCTGAGTCCTGCCATTATTTGCTCTATGACATCGTGTCCCTGCATGAATTTTTTCAAAAGGTTAGAGGAGCATAGAAAGAAGTCGCCAAATAAACCATTCTCAGTCTTGTTCGCAAGCGATGTCAAGGGGATAGGGCTTTGGCGCGGAGCGCGAGCCCTCCTACTGACAATTTCTTTTCATGCCCCCAATGAGAAACCCAAAAATCGAAGGGATAGGTAGCATTAGACCAATTTCGAGTCCTTTTTTCAACATGTGTGGCTGTCGCTTACTCATCGCCAGACATCAACAAACTAGAGATGTAAAAACGGCACTCTGGAGCTCGCAGCGCGCCTGAATGCACCCTCGGGCGCCCATGCAAATTGACTACGCCTCTCATTTTCACGCAGCCAGAAGCAAATAGTAGGACTAGCAATGATAACAACGTTTTTCTTTTAGTAAAACCACTCTCACCATAACTTTTGCTCGAAATTAGCTGCTGAGCACTGCTTTCAAACTGCTGTCAGGGAGAAGAGGGCAAGCTCTCTCGATGAAATAGCTGCGGAAGACTATCTTGAACTACGCTATGATAGTTCTCATAGCTACCTCGTCAAAATAGATCAATCTTCTCAGATACACATCTATACTATCCAGTTACGTCAGATAGTCTATATGCCACCAGTGCAGCAACCGATCTCAGAAGTAATCGAATGTCGCGGCTCGCCTCATTAAAATAGGAG